TGCCGTGCTCGGCACAGTAGGCTGCCAGAAGGTCGGAGGTGAACTCACCACCTCTGTCAGAGTGCAAACGCAGGACAGGAAAGTCCGAGCGGAAACGCTCGCTGAGCTGGAGACGAGCTCTGCTGATCCAAGGGATCAAGACATCAGGGACCTCACCCTTGGTGCGCAAGGGGAAGACCGTGGTGTAGCGAGAGTAGTCGTCAACAACAATCAGGAAGTACCTCTCCTGACCCTGTCCACGGACGCGGGCTGGGCCCCACACGTCCAGGTGGAGCGTCTGCAGGGGAGCAGTCGTCGGGGGAAAAGAGGAGGAGTGAGGAGCGGCGCGCTGCCGCCCCTCGACACAGGGAAGACAGGGAGGAGCAGGCGAGGGTGGGAGGGGAGGGAGCACCCTGGGAAGACCAGAGACAAGCTGCCGTTTGTGCATGGCACGAAGGCGCTGCACAGACGGGTGGCCAAGTCGGTGGTGCCAGAGAACGGTGTCGTGCGCCAGAGAGCGACACGAGCAGGGGGCCGACAGCTGACCTGACGCAGACGCGGACGCAGCTACCTGAGGGGACTCAGTGGTCAGTGTGTACAGGTCCGACCCTGGCTGCCGAGTGAAGGTAGCCAGGTGACGGCCCGTCCGAGCACACGTGCAGTGTGTCACGCGCTCGTAGGCAGGGGTGAACTGGTGAACACCCGCATCCTGGAGCGCACAACCCGCCACCAAGTTCGTAGAGAACGAGGGGAGGTGGAGACCTGACAGTGTGCCCGACGGGACCGCAGGACAGGGAAGAACAGTGGAGGAGGTCGCAATGACCGGACCCCCAGAGGGGTCAGCGAGGGAGACAGCAACTGGCCGAGCAAGCGGCTCAAGGGCAGTGCGGTCACGAAAGAAACAGCGAGAAGCACCTGAGTCCAGGGTGAAGGTGTGCAGGGCCTCAGTCGACTCAGTACCAGGGGGCGCAGACTCACTAGGACCTAGAGTAGCAGCCTCACCAGCACCTAGGGCAACAGACGTACTAGCACCTAGAGCGGCAGCCTCACTGACAGGACACGGCAGCTGCACCTGTCCACTACCAGAAGCTCCCGAACGATGCACTCCAGAGCGACTACCACTACGGCCACTCCGACAGCTCAAACTAGCGTACCACTCACGCGCACGAAGCAGCTGGGGCGAAGGAGGACACGGCTGCTGCACCTGTCCACTACCAGAAGCTCCCGACCGATGCACTCCAGAGCGACTACCACTACGGCCACTCCGACAGCCCAAACTAGCGTACCACTCACGCGCACGAAGCAGCTGGGGCGAAGGAGGACACGGCTGCTGCACCTGTCCACTACCAGAAGCTCCCGACCGATGCACTCCAGAGCGACTACCACTACGGCCACTCCGACAGCTCAAACTAGCGTACCACTCACGCGCACGAAGCAGCTGGGGCGAAGGAGGACACGGCTGCTGCACCTGTCCACTACCAGAAGCTCCCGACCGATGCACTCCAGAGCGACTACCACTACGGCCACTCCGACAGCCCAAACTAGCGTACCACTCACGCGCACGAAGCAGCTGGGGCGAAGGAGGACACGGCTGCTGCACCTGTCCACTACCAGAAGCTCCCGACCGATGCACTCCAGAGCGACTACCACTACGGCCACTCCGACAGCCCAAACTAGCGTACCACTCACGCGCACGAAGCAGCTGGGGCGAAGGAGGACACGGCAGCTGCACCTGTCCACTACCAGAAGCTCCCGACCGACCCACTCCAGAGCGACTACCACTACGGCCACCCCGACAGCCCCGACTAGCGTACCACTCACGCGCACGAAGCTGCTGGGGCGTGGGGGACTCACGCGCACAGCCCTGGAGCTGCATCTGGCCACGTCAGGAGCAGCAGTAGTAGCAGTAGCGGCAGTAACAGTAGTAACAGCAGGAGCAGTGGCAGTGGGAGTAGAAAAGGCAGTTGCAGCAGTACTGGGCAATGCTCACCAGTGGTCGGCGCGGCAGGCGCAAGACGGTGGCGACAGTGGGGCCGCTACAACTGCAGGGCTGGGCCGGGCCGCAGCAGGGAGCTCCGCGGCAGCTGCGGCAGGGCGAGGCTGGGCCGCGACGGCAGCTGCTCCAGGTGCCACTGGGGCGGCTGCTGCAGGTGCGGGCTGCTCCAGGGGCGGCTGCTGCAGGTGCGGGCTGTTCCAGGGGCGGCTGCTGCAGGTGCGTGCTGCTCCAGAGGGGGCTGCTGCAGTGACGGGCGGCTCCAGGGGCGGCTGCTGCAGTGGCGAGCGGCTCCAGGGGCTGCTGCTGCAGTGGCGGGCGGCTCCAGGGGCTGCTGCTGCAGTGGCGGCTGCTCCAGGGGCTGCTGCTGCAGTGGCGGCTGCTCCAGGGGCGAGAGGCGGATTAGGTCAGGGCGACGCGGCGGGCAGGTGGCGACGCCGCGGGCAGGGCGACGCGGCGGGCAGGTGGCGACGCGGCGGGCAGGTGGCGACGCCGCGAGTAGGGCGACGCCTCTACCAGGTGGCGACGCTGCGGGTAGGCGACGACGCCGCGGGCAGGCGCCGACGCCGCGGGCAGGGGACGACGCCGCGGGCAGGCGACGACGCCGCGGGCAGGCGACGACGCCGCGGGCAGGCGACGACGCCGCGGGCAGGCGACGACGCCGCGGGCAGGCGACGACGCCGCGAGCAGGCGACGACGCCGCGGGCAGGCGGCGACGCCGCGGGCAGGCGGCGATGCCGCGGGCAGGCGGCGACGCCGCGGGCAGGCGACGACGCCGCGGACAGGGGCTACGTCGCGGGCAGGCAACGACGCCGCGGGAAGGCGGCGACGCCACGGGCAGGGCGACGCGGCGGGCGGCGAGAGCCTGCAGGGGCGGCGCGCGGTCGTGCAGAGGCTGCGCGCGGGCCTGACGGGTGTGCAGGGGCGGCTCTCGGGCCTGACGGGCCTGCAGCGGCGGCTCGGGGGCCTGACGGACCTGCAGGGGCAGCTCGAGAGCGCACGAGGGCGCACGAGGGCGTACGAGGGCGCACGAGGGCGCACGAGGGCGCACGAGGGCGCACGAGGGCGCACGAAGGCGCACTAGCAGAGAAAGGCGCACGAGGGCGCACGAGGGCGCACGTAAGGTAGAGCGCACGAGGGCGCACGTAAGGTAGGGCGCACGAGGGCGCACGTAAGGTAGGGCGCACGAGGGCGCACGTAAGGTAGGGCGCACGAGGGCGCTTCTAGCGGAATAGTGGGCCCATTGTAGAAAGCGGTCCTAGGTAGCAACCTAGGCTCTGATACCATGTCAGAATCTAGAATAGAACGAGAATGGATGAACTAGCAGGAAGGTGGGTACAAGTATGAAACCCTAAGTTTGTGTACCCTCTAAGGCTAAACCCACTATAGCCTACACAATATAAACATACAATGTTTGACACAAGGGTCTAATCCTATGCGAAAATAAAAACTTGAAGTCATGTATTCTAGCAACAGAATCGAGAATTTCAATGTTACGTCAGGAAGAACTTTAACCATACCATGATTCGAGGCACGAGCGCATTCAAATTCTGCAGCCCAGTCAATTTCTGCAGTCAAATCTCGCTACAATTGGCTGTCGCTTCCTACAGTCTCGCTTAGAGTAGAAGTGTATACAGCTAGGGGGGTCTATTACAAAAATGCATATAGCATTAGGACCCCATTAAACGATCCGAGGTCTATAATTTGGGGGTTTCCATTACCCGAATAATTTCGGTATTCTCGGTCCATTCAATCACAGTCTCGTTATCCGTTAATCTGCGCACTCTCCTTCACAACTCATAACACACTTCTCTTTTTTTTTTCGAGATATAAATTTGAAATGTATTGGTAACCCTAAAAGGATCCGGTCTGTGAGGATTTACAAATCCTTACTGAGGCACTCGTTAGCGACGCGACCAACTGGTTCGGCATACAATTTCGCATCCAAACCTCACCGAGCCGCCTCCGCACCAATCGCGACCCTTCGCGAGCCAACCTTTCCCCACCTCCCCGCCTAGCTAGGTTTTCCCCTATTTAGGCCTCGCTACTTCATTGTTTCGTCATTCTATAATCCTCATTCTTGTTATTCGATATTCTGTGCACTCTGACAAGTTCATTCATAACACGGTCGGGCAGCCGTACGGACAGCCAGAATTCAAACAATGTAGGGCGTGTAACATTGTAGCGACCAAAATCAAAATCCGACCATTTGGTCATGTTGGCCGATATGTGAGGGAAGTGGTAACAAACACCTGGGGCGCCCTCTGTAGATTTAGGATCGTGTGGTCGATTTAGGGGCATCCACCCTGAATTACCCACGTAATGAGAATTTGGAGGTCTAATCCAAATTTCAGCATTCGAACGGGATGTAGAATACACGGGACATGAAGACATGGTTGTGCTTAGCAACCTAGGCCTTCGCGAGACAAATTCGGGGACCGCGTAATGCTAATCTTTGGGAGTTGCCCAAATTGGGTGACTATCACGGTGGGGAGTTTTCGTGACCAAACTGGTCGCAAGTACGGTCGCTTGTTTGGGCGTTTTTGGTCGTTGTCGTGGTCATTTGGCGGGAAAATCTCGCATCCCTCGCCATCGTGTTACTTCCTTGGAATTCGCATGCCCCAACCAAATAGTCGGACATTGGGTTTGGTCGCTGCAATGTTACACGCCCTTACGCGCCCTCAGTGGACGTCCTGCACGCGAAATGCATGTAGTTGCCATGCCCGAATTGCTCCCAATCCCAGTGGGTCAATTGAATCCCCTTGGCCACCTTCAATGCACCGCAACCTTTCGGTTTCCCTGGTCAGGCATCCGTGCATCTGTTTCGGACGCGGTTTGGCACCTTCTCACCACCCTCGCCTCCTTCCCAGGCAGGATGACAAATGGTGTCTAAGTCGTTGGAGGGTAAACCTAGAAGCCATTTCGGATTTACACATCGTAAACTCGTTGGAGGCATCGCGTGGCACCTAATCGCTTGCTCGTGCGTGTTTTCCATTTGTTCCTGCGGCGTCGTCGCGCGTGGGACGAGATGGAGGCGGATTTGTTGACGTCGCGCTTCGAGATGGACGAGCTGCTGTCCAAGATAAATCCGGACTTGCGACACGACTCTGATTCCCACAAGGCTAAGGCGGGGCGTCGCCTGGCGGTGCGTCTGCTGGTGGGGGGCATGGACGGCGCGTCCAGCACGGAGCAGTCGTCGGACGGGCGGGAAGTGTCGGAGCGGCGTGGCCGTCGGATGCACAAGAGCGCGTCGGAGGCGAACGTCATGGGAACCGGATTGCCGGGCGGGTGCGCGGTGGCGGGGTCCATGGGGGCGTTGACGGGCAGCGGCAAGTGGGTGAATGGGTCGGCGATGAGGGCGCAGCTGCGCGCGGAGCAGGAGGAGCTGGCGTTCCTGGGCATGGAGGCGGAGCGCATCGAGCGCAGCGGCGTCATCGACATCGTCAACCACGACGGCGACGGCGGCGCCTTCCCAAAACACCTCAGCTGGAACTACCGCGGGCTCGACATCACCCCCAAGGGCAGCAGTAGCGCGGCGGCGGGCGCAGACAGGGATGGGGGGCCGGGGGTGGAGTCGGTGCTGGCGTCGTGGGCGCAGGAGAGGCGCGAGCTGGCGGGTCAGGTGGGCGCACTGAAGGCGGAACTGAAGCGCAAAGAAAGAGAGCTCAAGGCAGCGGGCAAGGCGAAGGCGGCGGCGGGCAGGGAGGTGGACGCGGTGTGGGGGCAGGTGAGTGCGCTGGAGGCGCAGCTGCACGACGTGCAGGGCGACAAGGCCGCGCTGGAGAAGGAAATCGAGGGGCTGCGCGCGCTGCACGTGTCCAGTGCGCGCGATTCAGGGGAGTCAGCGGGCGCGCGGGCGGCGGACACGGAGATGGCGGGCATGCTGAAGATGGTGGGCGACTTCTCCCGCCGCCTCGCTCTCGCGGACGACGCCGTGCGACGCGCCGAGGCAAAGAACGACCAACTAGCTGGTAAGCCATAGGTGGGTTGGGGGGCGAGTGGAGTGGAGGGCGGTACTGGAGCATGGGGATGGTGAGGATGTGTGTGCATGCAAGTCCGTGCGTTCTCATGGGCTCCCTGTACTCCCCGCCTTTCCCCTCGTGCCGTCTCTTAACGTCACTGCTCAATCTTCCCGTTTTGTGCATGGCTGCTTTTCCTGTGGCTTGTCCCGTGTCCCATGCGACTTGTGCCGCTTCGCAGAGCGGTTGAAGGCGAGCGAGGCGGAGTTGCGTGGAACGAGGGAGGCGCTGCGCACGGCGCAGGAGGAGCGGGACGCGCTGGCGGCGGAGATGAAGGAGGCGCTGGACACGTGGGCCTGCACCGGCTCTGCACTCCCCACCCCCCCGCTGCCACCCCTGGCACAGGGGGCAGCAGCGGCAGTGGCAGCGGCAGCGGCAGCGGCAGCATGGGTGTGGGCATCAAGCCCGTCAGTGGCATTGGTTGAGCACATGGGCGAGGCCATGGGCAGGATCCGCTTCCCGGGTGCTGCCCAGCCCACGCATGCCATGCAGCAGCGGCAGCAACGCGCATGGGATATTGCTGCTGCAAGCAAGTCGGGACGACGTGGGTACAGCGGTGGTGGTGGCGTGAGGCGGCCACCCCGGGACTCCAAGACATGGGCAGTGCAGTTTCACGCCCTCTCATGCAGCCCCTCCCCTCCTTGACTCGCTGCTGCTGCCCTCCTCAATGGACAAAACACCGCCACACCCCTGCTCTCGGTTGTGCTGGGCTGGACGCTTAAGTCACTGTTGCTGTGCCAAATTACAATGCTTGGTAGTAGTTGCAGCAGGCCATGTGTTCCACCCTGCTTCACAGAATTGAGCTACCAGTTGATACACAGCAGATGCCTTGTATAGATTTTCCGGACCGATATACAGGAGTGGAGACACACTAAACCCTGTTGATATACACAGGGGTGCCTTTAAATGCAAGCAGACCTTCTTTTCCACGTGCCAGATGGTCTCCCAGAGGCCTTCCATCCCATCCAAAGCGGTCAAGTGGGGAATACCTAAACTACGGTCATTCCCTCCGTCTATGGCAATAGGAAAGTGCATGGATGGAGTGGGGTCAAAGCTGCTTGACCCACTCCATGCACGTGAGGTTGCAAGGCTCAAGCGAGGCAGCATCAGCTGTTGACTGACACCTCGCTCGACACCTCCTCGCCCTCCACCTGCTGCTCTCGCCTCCTCGCTGCACCCCACGACTCGCCCCCCTCACTGCGCGGCTGCCAGCGCTGTGTGCGCGAGTGCCTGAGCCCTGCCAGCTGTGAGTGCCACTGCTGCCGCCACGCTGCCTTCACCTCCAGCTGTTGCCGGGGGCGTGGGGGAGGGCGCATTGAGATTGGGATTGCAGCGTCAATGCTGCGCCGGGCCCTGCACGGCATGTGCAAGGCCGCCAGCATGGGGCAAGTGAAGCACGCAGGCAGGAGAAGCGGGTGGCAGTGCAAAACGGGTGGAGAGGGAAGCAGTGAAGGGTGACGTGCATGGTGTGCGCAGCACCTCACACTGTCACCCATGGCGCACGGCATGGACAGCAGCGTTGGGGATGCCCGCTGCACGCATCGAACCACTGCCACTTCGCCCTGCCATGCTTGCACTGCGCACCACGCTCCTCTCTCCCTCGCCCTCTCTCTCTCCCTCTGCCGCACATCTGCATGCGCGCCACGTGCCTCACCTGCTCCTCCACGCTGTCCCACATCGCCTGCCCCATCCACGGCCGCCGCATCCCGTGCCGCCACCGCTTCGCCGACCCCATGGCCATGCCCCCATGCCGTGCGCCCGCCACCAGCGGGTGCAGCAGCTCCCAGTCGTACCGCGCGCGCTGCTGCGGGTTCGACAGCACGTCGTACGCGCGCTGCACCGCGATGAACCGCCGCGTGCTCTCCGCCTCGCTCAGCCCCGCCGCGCGGCTGTCCGGGTGGTAGCGCCGCGCCTCGCGCCGGTACGCCAGCTTGATGTCGTGCATGGACGCGTCGCGCCGCGCCAGCCCCAGCACGTCGTACAGCGTCGTGCCCGCTGCGCCGGGCCCGTCCGCCCACTCCGCTGGCACCCCGCCGCGCGGGTCCGACGCGGACGCGCGGGGTGCACGAAAGGTCCCCGTGGTGGGGCGCGCGGATATAATGAGAAGTTGGAGAAAGGGCGCGGCGCTAGGCGGAAGTGTAGGTGCGACGGCGAGGCGGCGGGGGCACGGCAATTGGTGAGGGTGAAGGGGGACGAGACGAGTCGGAGAGAAGGCTGGCCATAGAGCAATGGAGGGCGCGCGCGCACACACATGCAGTGCGGCGGTGGGGAAGAGCGCCTGCGACGAGGAAGGCGGGAGAGGAGGAGCGAGAGGGCAGTGCGGCGAGCAATGCCCTCTCAGCGCCATGGCCCGTAATGCGAGGGCAGTGACCGGCACTTGGCGAGGTGGAGAGCAGCTGCTGCAGCAACTTGCGGCGGGCATACCATTGGCCGCCAGGCCCTAGGGGTGCTGTGTCCGCATGCTGCTTCCGCACCCGCCCTGCTCTGTGTGCGCTCAGAATTGCAACTTGAGTGGCGACATTTGCTCATGCCATTGCGCTTGTAACAGTTGTAGAAACCTGAAAATGCTTATTCTGCTCCTATGCCAGCAGCCTCTCAAACGAGTGTGATGGGATTCCCTTTACTCCCTCAGCTTGGAAGCTCAGGTGGACATCTTAGCTAGCCTTTTCAGCAATTTCTATCTTCCTATCGCACACGTATCTCCGCGTGTGTGACGACAAGCAGAGGCAACTCCATTGATGCATGTTACTTGTTGCCACACATCGGCAGGCCTCATGCGCTTGAACCTCAAGCACTGCCACATCACCAACCCCCGCACCTGCGCTACACCTGCCATGCCTGCACCTGCTGTGGCGCACGGAGCAAGGGGTTAGGTCATTTGGGCACTGGTAGAAAACACTAGTCATGCGGGTGGGAAGCATAAGCACGCTCGGAACCTTGGCCCCATGGCCCAACATCACCACATTTGTTTGCAGCAGCACAACAGCACCCCCCTCCGCCCCTGCCACTCGAAAGGCCCCCAGGCGTGGCGGTGTCATTGCGAGTCGTCGAGGCGCACGCGCTCCGCCAGCTTGGCAAGGCCGGTGTCACGCGTCCACGCGGGGGGGATCCAGTCGCCCTCCTTGACCACCTTGCCACACGGCTCCAGCGCCAGCACGGGCAGGTCGGGGAAGCGCCCCACTCGCACCTCCGCCGTGTCCAGGTGCGTGCCGCCTGCCCGTGGATCCAGCACCCGGTGCTCCTGATGCCACACAGCACCCACACACGCACACACGCGTGAACGGCGTGCAAGGGGCGAGGGGTGAGTGGGACATGGGGAGTCAGCGGTAGCACTGCACGTTGGCCTAAGGTGGGCACCAACACAGCACTTCATGTCCTTCACACGCCTTGTGGTGCGAATGAATGCAAGCAGGTGGCAATCTCACGTGAGTCGTATGACAGTACCGCAGCACATGAAAGCATGCCTCAAGCACTCTGCAACCCAACTAATGCCATGCACGCATGCAGCAGTCGGTGCGAGCGGCGAGGCATGCGGGCATACCGCAATGATGGATGTTTTGCGCGGGTCCACCATGTACTTGCGCGCGCCCTCGTTGCCCAGGCACAGGTTGCGGTTGGCGTGCAGGGTGGTGTTGGAGCACGTGGGGTGCGGGTCGCAGAAGACCATGCGCTCCACCTCCCAGCCGTTGAACTCCTCGCCCTCAGGTGGCGCGGCACAGCGCTCCGTGAAGTAGCGCACCGACCCCACCGTCAGGAACGTGGAGCGCTGCCAGCACCAAGGGAGGGGGGGGCCACGCCCGTGCCACGTGTGGCGCCATGGGGCAACACGCGCGAGCCATGGGGCACAGAGAGGTGAGTGGGGAAAGCAGCGCGGGCAACACAGTTGATGTGCGGGTGGGAAGCAGTTGTGTTGTGTGATTAAAGAGGCAGTTTGACCTTGTGCTTGTCGAGCGTGGCGTGGATGGAGTGTGGCGGCGCGGGCACGTAGAGGTACTCGTCCACGTCCAGGAACAGCGCCCACCGCGCCGTCGTGCGCGCAAAGTACAGACAGTCGTGCGCCGCTAGCAGCTGCTCCCACTCCCATGGGGCCGCGCGTGCAGGAGGGGGAGGGAAGAGAGGTGCAGGGACAGCGAGAAGGGAGGCGATGGGGATGAGCCACGGGTGGGACTTGGGCCACAAGGAAGCACAGTAGCGCAGAGCTGAGCAGTACACTTGAACCCGCGTGAGAGAAATGCATCCGCCCCAACCCGAGCACAGGTGTGTAGGAGGCATGAGCGCATGCTTTGTGGGTTGGAGCAGACCTGGCCGTGCATGAAGGGGTCGTGCTTGGCGGCCATGCGCATGTCGAGCACGGCCAGCAGGCGCTCGTTCACAAACGACTCCGCCACGCCCAGGAAGTCGTCCGTGACGCCGCCCGCGTCGTAGAGCTGGAAGAAGTCAATGCGGTGCACCTTGCGGTGGAACTCCACCCACTGGTACAGGCGCAGCGTCTCGTACTCGCGCTGCAGCGGCGGCGAGCAGTACATCACGTCGTACACCAGCGTCTCCTCCGCCTGCATGCACGCCGCGCGCACAGACACACGCACATGCGCGCATGGCACGCCAGAGCGATCGAGGAATGAGAGGCGGGGGAAAGGAGTGTGGAAGTGACTATGAGTGGGCAGTAGATGGAGTGGTATGTGAAGCGAGGTTGGCATGCGCACAGGAGGGCCCAAATGTGAGAGGCGTGGATATGGTGCTCCGTTGCCCCAGTGCAGGCAGGCGAGCATGCAGGGCAGGGCAGGGCAGGGCAGGGCAGGGCAGGGCAGGGCAGGGCAGGGCAGGGCAGGGCAGGGCAGGGCAGGGCAGGGCAGGGCAGGGCAGGGCAGGGCAGGGCAGGGCAGGGCAGGGCAGGGCAGGGCAGGTTGGTGGGGCGACTGACAGCGAACTTGAGCTTGTAGCCGGGGTTGGCGTCCTCCTCGTACACGAGCAGCTCAGCGCCGTTGACACTCATGCGCAGCGCTCCGCCCGTGCGCAGGTTGGCCTCCTCCTCCAGGATGCAGAAGAGCAGCGCCGCCAGCTCCTGCCCCTTGCCACGGCTCTTGATGACGGCGGGCCCCAGCGCCATCTCCGCCACGCGCTTCACCGACACCCGCCCCGCCAGGCGCGACCCCTTCTTCGTGCGCCACCTGCACACCCCGCCACGCCGCCCAGCCAAGAGAACGAAGGCGGTGGGTTGCACATGGATGTTGGGACGAGGTGTTGCATGGAGGACATAGTGTGGCATGAAGAGGCGCAACGGCAAGCATGGTGCAGCATGCGGGACAGCCCGTCCCAGCAGCACAGGTCCCCTGCTGCCACGTGCTGCTGCCCATGCCGTGCCCTGCACTGCTCCCACGACAGCACCTGGCACACAGCTGGTGGTGTGGTGTGGTGTGGTGTGGTGTATCTCCAACCCCATTCGTCGTCCCAAGTCACAACAGCCATAAGGAGCGGGCAGGCATTTTGGTTGCATGTATGGGCGTCTCACCAGCAGTCGAGGTCGGTGAGCGTGCGGTTGGGGCGGATGTTGCCAATAGCCACAAACGTGTCCATGGTGCTGCGATACCCGCTGAACAGCAGAAAGTCCATCTGCGCCGCTCACACGCACCCACTCACATGCACCACATTCACTCACACACACACACCACACAATCACTCGCACACGCACACAGACACAACCACACCCACTCACACAAAGAGAAGACACACGGCCCGAGGGCAGAAGAAGAAACAGAGGGCGCATGTGAGGTGGCAGAGGGGAGAAGCATGGAGAAATGGAGAGGAGCACAAGCGAGAGGGGGGAGCGAGGCATGTGAGAGCAGCGAGGCATGTGGTGGCACCTTGCGTGGTGGCTTCTTGTCCTGTGTGGCTGGCCTTCCACCATCGCCACCATCTCCACCCCCGCCACTCTCGCCCCCTTCCTTCTGCTGCTCCTCCCCCGCGCCCTCCTCTTGCTGCTGCTGCTCCTGTTGCTGCTGCTGCTGCTGCTGCTGCTGCTGCTGCTGCTGCTGCTCCTGCTGCTGTTGCTGCTGCTGCTGCTGCTGCTCACCCCCCCCACCTTGTGTCCCTCCGCCCTGCTCTTGTACCTGCTGCTGCACCTGCTGGACTGGTTGCGCTTGCACTTGCTGCTGCTCTTGGGGCTGTGCTAGCGCCACAGGAGCGGGGGGCGGGGGGGAGGGAGGGGGGTCAGCAGGGGGAGGGGAGGCGGTGCCAGTGAGCCAGGGCAGCAGCCCGCCTGCGCGCCACCCCGTTGTGGCAGGGCTGCTGCTGCCCACGCCCACGCCCACGCCCATACCCATGCCTGCACCCGCGCCCGTGCTCGCGCCTCCCCCTGGCAGCATCTGCATGCGACCTGCTGCTGCTGCCGGGGGTGACAGCGTGTACCCGCGTTCCCCACCCCACGCGCCCCCCCCTCCCACTCCCCCCACACGCCATGGCTCCACCACCCCAACTCCCCCTGCCCCCCTTGACCCTGCGCCCCACGCCCCCGCCACTGTCCCCTCTCTCCGCCCACTATCCCCCCACTGCGTGCCTGTGCCCGCCCCCTTGCCGTAATACCCCCCTGCCCCTGCGCTCTGCTCCCCATAGGTCCCCCCTCCTTGCGCCCATCTGCCCCTGTCACCCCCCTGCCATCCCGCCTGGGCCCCACTGCTGCGCTGCGACCACAGCCCCGCCCCCCTGCGCCCGCCCCTGCTGCCCACGAGCGCTCTTCCCCACCCCGCTGCTGCTGGGACCGCCACCTGCTGTCCTCCGCGCCCTCCCCCTCACCCCCCTTGCGCCCATACCCATCTCCGCGCTGCCACAGCCTGTCCCTCCCCACTGCGCCTTTAAACCCCTCCCCTTCCTCCCCGTACTCCCCCCTGCCCTCATGCCCCCGTCTGCGCCACCCTTCCTCTGTTTTCTTTGACCGCAGGGCCCAAGCACCCCCACGCCCCCGATCGCCCTCCCGATCCTCCTCCTCCTCATCCTCCTCCTCGTCGTCGTCCTCATCGTTTCGCCGCCTCCTGTCCTTGCGCGTGCCCTGCTGCTCCTCGTCCGCCCTCGCGCCCACCTTGCCCCTGGCCCTGCCCCTCGCCTTGCTCTTGCGCCGCAGCGACGAGTCAGCCGTGTGCGATGCACTGACCACGGCAACACGGGGACGTTGGTCGGGGGCAACAGGGGAAGAGAAACGGAAAGGGGTGAAAGCAACATGTGGTGTGAGACACGCGGGTACAGGAGGGAAGGCTATGACATAGCACAGTCACGGCATGCAAGGCAGTAGGACACCCATGGGGGATAGGAGGATGACACAGCATGGCAGGGGCGGCACAGCATGGCAGGGGCGGCACAGCATGGCAGGTTGTTCCGTGATGGCCTCCATCTCACCCTGCTCGCCGCCCTGCCACTGCCTTCCTGCTGCCTCGCCTCGTGGCGCCCCCTGCGCGTCTGCCCGTGTCCTCCTCCTCGCCCTGCTCCTCCTCGTCCGCCTCCTCCCCCTCCTCCTCGTAATCCTCCTCCTCGTCCCCCGGCCTCTCCCACGCGCCCCGCGCCTTCTTCCCGCCCTTGCCGCGGCCCTTCTTCTTGCGCGCCCATGCGCCATGCCCGCGCGCCACTGCCCTCCCCTTCAACCCCTCATCCTCCGCCTCCTCCTCCTCCTCCTCGCCCTCCTCGCTCTCCGCCCCAACACCTTTCCGCCCAGCCCCCTCAACACTACGACCCGCCCTCGTTGTTCGCCGCGCCCTCACCGCCCCCTCCCTGCCCACCTCCCCGAGCCCCTGCGCCTGCCCGCCACTCGCCAAGCCCGCTGCCACCACCACAGGCGCGGGCGGAAGGGGAGGTGGAGGGGAGGGGGCCGGGGGAGGTGGGGAGGGCGGCGGGGATGTGGCTGGAGGGGAAGGGGGCGGAAGGGAAGGGGGTGGCGAGGCGGGGGGGGGAGGGGAGATGGTGGGCGGGCGGATGGATGGGGGCGAGGGGAGTCCGAGGGAGGAGGATGCGGAGGAGGTGGCAGACGGCAGGCGGATCTCAGCATCGGCGCCAGTCGTGGTGCCCATGGCGGCGGTAGAGGCGTCAAGAGCCTTGTCCACGTGGCAGGATATGTCGCTGGGGGGCACACGCAGCACGAGGAGAGAGAGAGAGAGAGAGAGAGAGAGAGAGAGAGAGAGAGAGAGAGAGAGAGAGAGAGAGAGAGAGAGAGAGAGAGAGAGAGAGAGAGAGAGAGAGAGTGGGGTGGGAGGGAAGGGGGAAAGGATGGACAGGGTGAGTAAGCGGAACGGGAAGGACATGGCGAGGTGGTGCGCGACACAGCAACGAGGGCGGCATGGCAACGCAGCCGGGGCGCGGCAGGGAGGAGCGAGGCACACGGCCCATGCGTGCGCAGTGGGAGGTGTGGAAGCGGCGTGCGGGCCGTGCGCCAGCCGTGGCCCTTCCACCCGATGCTCGCGCCTCTCGCTGCTTCTCACCCCTTAACCGCTCCACCACGCCAAATGTCTGCCACCGTCGCAGCGCGCCACCTGCCCGCATGAGACCAGGCCCGGCCACCCGCCTGACTGAGGTGGCGCCGCGCGCGGTACGCTGGGCGCGTCGAGCAGTGGGCTCGCGTCGCTGGGGGCTACCGGCGGCATCATCGCGACGGCACCACCGACAGGCGCGCTGGCGATGGCCGACGACTCATCGCCGCTGGAATGACGGCGCCGCGAGCAGCACGCGAGCCGTGACAGGCCGCGTCGCTCACACGCAAATGCGGAGCGCGCAGGTGGGCGTGGTGAGCGGGCGCGTGGGTGGGGGACGATGGCGGGCGCGCACCTGTAGAGCATGGCGGGCGCGCACCTGTAGAGCATGCTGACGATGATGATGTTGGTGATGGTGAGCACGATGATCGGCAGCTGGTGGTACATCCACGCTGGCGACTTGCCGCCGCCGCCACCGCTCGCTGCGCCGCCGCCAGTGCTGCTGCTGGTGCTGCCTCGGCCGCGGTACGCACTTCGCGACGACGCTGCGGCCGTCACCCGAGCCATGGCTGCACGCGCGACGCACCGCTATCCACGGCCCTTACACGCAGTGGAGAGGCGACGAGTGGATCCGTGTGACGGGAGGTGGCGTGCGGGCGTCACATGTTGACGGCGAGCGCAGCGATCCACATGCGCGGCGAATGCGGCATCACGGACGCGATGGTGGACGACACGTTGGGCCGTGGGAGAGAGGAGATTCGGGGGACGGGGAATGAGGGGGCTGTCGGTGGTGCGAATGTCAGCAGGTAAATCGCAGCATCACCACGTGGGAGGCGGTAACTACTTGGTGGTCTGGTCTGTTAGGCTTTAGTGGCCTGGGAATGCGGACACGCTTTCGAGCCTAAGTTTCGCGTGTTCAAGGCAAGAGGATTGGTTTGTTGAGATTGAGATGTGGATGGGAGGGGAGGCACTGCTGCGGAGTGAAGGGCAGCAACAGAGCAGAAGTTGCCCCACCACCACCACCGCCGTCCCTCCCGTGCTGACGCTTCCTTTCGTTTGCAAGGTACGTTTGGGGTGGTTACCAATGCCTTGAGCTTTGGCCTGCCCTATAAGTAGGTGGCGGACCCACCAGCTAAACGTTGATGGCTGGGTGAGCACGCTGGAATGTTGGTTTGGGGGGGTTGGTTTGGCTTGGGGTGACGTAGAGTAACTGCTGGGAGTTTGTCTCTCAGCATACGCTTTACTGGCCTTGCTAAGGCCGTGTGTGATTTTTGTCTAACTTCTCCTAAGTTCAAACTGTTATAAAGGCTCTACACGGTAGGACACAGTTGAGAGACGTGTCGCCACGGTGCAAACCACTTTGAGTTTGAACTTTGGAAATTTTCCATAGTGGAGATAACATGTATGAACGTCTTGAGCTAGGAGAATTGTTATAAGCAGGGCTTTGTTGTCAGGGTAAAATACCGTATGGCCCCGGATAAAAACGCATATGCGCTTATAATAAGTATTGATTTTTTAGGGGTGGCGCTTGTAATTGAGTAACGGCCATAAGCGCCGGCGCTAATGTAATGGCAAAATTGAATTTCGTTTTTAAGAGTTCCAAACTGAAGCCCACAATAAGGCGAACACAACTGTGTACACTGCGCATGGGTTCGTGCATGGAATTCCAGCGAAAACAGGGGCGCTTTGATTTCCCACCGCTTGAATCTTGTCCCAGAGCAACGCACTTGCCAGCGGTGACGTGCATCCTGCCGTGCGGCCCAATAGGAGAGTCATGCGCTGCCAGGCTGCAACAAACCACCCGAACCCTCTAGAAGGGGGTGGAATATGCCTGCCAGCGCGGCAAGTACGAGCCACAATACCCTCCTCTCCGGGTTTAGGCAGGGTGGCACCCGTCTTTCCCCGACGAGGACCCCGCGCCGCAAACCTGAAGGGGTCCCCTCCAATTGCTCATTTGGGCACTCGTTTCATTCAGTGAAGGCATTCTGTTTCTTCCTTTCTCTCGCCTGGCTGCAACAGCCATGGCGGAATTCACAGGCACACACTTTCTATTCAAGAAGAAGCCCAATCGTAGACCCGCCTATGTAGTCGACGCCGACGGATGGTACACCCGTGTCCCAGCTGAACGACCCTTGCCACCAGAGCCACCACAGCCTCCATCGCCTCCTGAGCCGCCTGCTCCTCCTGCTCCTGCCGCCAACACCTCCACAGCCTCCTCTACCTCCGTCTCCTTCGATTCCGGAGTGTCCTCTTCAGGCGTCGGGTCCGCCCGTGCTCACGCTCCTGACCCCGTCTGAGTTCGACAAGTGGCTGGAGGAACCGAAAAGCAACAGGGGCCCAGATGAGTGGGTACACGGCGCTCCTTACACTGGACCACGTTGGGGCCGGCCCGAAGATTGCACCACGTGGGACGAATCTGCACTCGGAGCTGACGACGCCGTGGCTGAGGACGAGGAAGCGAGCAGTTCTGACGGCGAGAAGAGTGAGGAGGGTGGCGCGCAAGGCGGCACCGCCGAGGATGTCTTTCCTGAGGGTGTTCCAGGTGGCGACGACGACGAGGAGTTGAGTACTGGTCACGTGACGGGTTCCCAGAGGAACTGCCGATACCTTCGTTTTCGCCAGCTAACTGCAAGCGACCCCACCCGTCTACCCAGAACCGTGATGCCCGCCCCCCCTCTCCCAGGCACAAGATCAGCGAGCACAAGCGTAAGGGCTACACCGCCGCGGAGAAGTTGAAGTACGTCGCGATGATGGATGGGACGGTGTCGGTGCGCTCTCTGGCCCGGGAGCTTGGGATTCACCGGAAGTGTCTCGCCAACTGGAAGGCCGCAGCGGCGTTTCTCAAAGAAGCACACTCCGCACGGAAGCGCATGCACGGTCGCGGGAGGGCCTCGTGGTACCGCCCGATGGAGTTGAAGGTGTACGAGCGGCTCCTGGACTGGCGCCGCAAAGGAACCGCCGTGTCCGTCGGCCGTTTGCGGGACTGGTCGCAGGAGTTCATGAAGATCCTCTACCCTCACAACAAATGGCGTGGGAGTCAGAGGTGGTCGGAGCGGTTTCGGAAGAGGTGGAATCTGAGCATCCGCATGAAGATGCCTCTCGTAAGAATTCGTTCACCGCTTTTATATCCCCTTGTTTTTCTCACGTACTAACCTGCCGTCTATCCCGCCTGCTCATCCCCTGTCTCACAGAGGTCGAGGCGCAGTACAAGTTGTTCTGGCGTTTTGTGCGAGCCATGCGTCGCGAGCGCAACATCGAGAACTGCTGGATCATCAACGCCGACTAGACGCCGCTGTGGCTTGAGATGCCCGCCACCACCACCGTCGAGCAGACGGGCGTACGGTGGTGCCGATAAGGAGTGGAGGCTACCAGAAGGAGCGTGTGACCGTGATGCTGGCGTGCACGGCGGACGGGGTGAAGCTCAAGCCGTGGGTGTTTTTCAAGAGGAAGACGGCGCCGAAGGGCGACTTTCCGCCAGGTAAGATACAGCAACTGCCGCTATCTTACCGTATGCTATTGTTTCTCATGCCGCGCTAACAGTTAATGTTCCTCCTGTGTGTGCAGATGTGGTTGTCGCGTGCCACAAGAAGGGGTGGATGGATGCAGAAGGCGTCATCCGCTGGCTTGAGGAGTGCGTCAAGCCGTTCTTGAAGCCCCAATTTGGCAGGTGTGCAAAGAGCTCCATGCTCGTGCTAGACTCGTACCGCGGCCATCTTACCGAGGGAGTGAGGGAGAAGTTCCGCGAGCTCAACTGCGTGCCTGCAGTTATCCCGTCGGGATGTACGGCCGAAGTTCAGCCGCTTGACGTCTCCATCAACAAGAGCTTCAAGGCTGTGAGGATCGAGGATCGAGTTCAGAAATGAGAATGTGACTTGAATGATCACCTGGGTACAACACGAGGCTATATATAGGCTCGACACAAGGGGCAGTAACCAGGTGTTACGCGAAGGTTCTGCGGGTCGCGAAGCGTCCCGAACAGACCCTTCCCGAATTCGGTAGAAAGCAGTTCGGTGGCAACCGAATAGCTCCGAATTCGGTGTAACCTAGCACGGTGCTTATAACTATAATAAAATATAGGAAAGCACCTAGCCTAGGAATCAAGCAATTCATGCATGCAGAAATTAAACCTAAGCTAGAAATAGCGTAAGGGAATAAAAGCAAGCATGAATAACAAGCATAAGCCGTCGTACTCTCACAAAGGCATCTGTGCGGTAGCAGTACTAGAAGTGGTTTGAGGAGGAGGGCCAAGAGCAGCTGACAGCAGCAGGTACGTTGTACCTGTAGTTCACGCATGCCTAATCCCTCCCTCTCACCCTTGGCCGCTGAATACCCTTTCCCTGGTGTCTATGCGGTGGTGCAGGGAATCTCAAGAAGCCCCCCCCAGCAGTGGTCCTTCGCTGGATCTCATGGGCGTGGAAAGCAGTACCCTCCGACCTCGTCAAGCGCGCCTTCCTCACCTGCGGCATTAGCAACGCACTAGACGGCAGTGAGGACCACCTCGCCATGGCGCACAGGCGGACTCAGCTGTCGGCGGAAGTGGATGTCGACGACGACATCATCGCCGACGGCTTCTTTGGCAACAACTGCCTGGAGCCCGAGTCTGA